GGAAGAAGTCTAGTCAATTGTGGAAGGACGCACGCTTGTGTATCAATACACATTTTTCGGCGAAACTAATCTCAAGGAACATATATGGCTGGAATTTTGAATTAATTTTCCACCCATTCCGGAAATTTCATATTGAGCCTTTCGGTGGGGAGTCTTAGGCGATTTTGTTCTTTCGAGGTGATGAAAGTTTTTTGAGAACCTTGGTCGATGAGAGCTCGAACCTTATGCGGTACTCCGAGATGCTCTATTAAGACGAGAGCTGTTGGAAGTAGAGTTTTTCCTTCGTTTACTATGTGCATGGATTGCACCTGTGGACTGTATGTATAGGCGGGTGACTGAGAATTGCTAGCCGCGTTTGTGGGTGTTTGTGATCTATTTTAGTTTCCTTGATCTGTCGGATTTCATATTTCCTTCGGGTTTAGAGGTTTCCTGGATCGCCTTAGTGTTTGGCGATTGAATGCTTGCGAGCCGGGTTTGATCATTGTGAGTGGTCACATGGAGTAACGAATGATGGTTTATCTGGCAAACTGCGCACGTATTTTGACTTGAGCAGTCACTTCTTAAGTGGGAGAATGAGAACCAGTTTTCATACATCTGATTTTCTCGGACCACCTTATACCTATCACACACAGACAACTTTTTAAATTTGCATCGCACATAGGACAGGGGTTCGTCGTGGTGCTTTCAACATAAATGTTTTGAGTTCTGTTGTGACTTCGATTCTGAACAAACCCGGGCTTGATTTGTTTCTCGCCTTAAGGCCGCTCTACTACCTCATATCGTTTTGTAAGAAATTTATTCATTTGTTCCCAGGTTGGGAGATCTTTGCGAGAACTTAGGGATTGTTCCCACAAAGATAACGTTTCTTGGGGTAGCTTCGACTAGCATGTGTATACTAGGATTGGGTCCCAGTTCTCTGTCGGGACGTCTTGAGCATTTAAGACAGACAGAGAATTGTTGATGGAATTTTGAAGTACAGTGCACTCGCGAAAACACGAACACACGATAACTCGAACATTCGGAAACTTGAACTTTTTTTTTTCTCCATTGACTACTTTAAAACTCGAACAAAATGTACCTACTCTAAAACTCGAACAATTATTTTCTT